CTTATTGAGCAGCCGAGATATTGAACAACGAACGAGCAAGCTACCTTGCCTCACCCTGAGATGAGAGGGAAGGTCGATTTGACTCGAATCCTGGACCTTATCTTTAATCCTACACCGGTTAATGATGCGATGGGATAAGTTTTTTTTTCATCAATGCTGGCCCAGTCGAGGCTCGTCCATGCCCAATCCCAATGGACAAACCTCTGATCTGCCCCTAGCTCTATAATCCACCCGTCTTCCCCAGTCCCTGAAAGCCCTCCTATCCTTGGCCTAGCCCTCTTTCTCAACTCGAGTCTGAAGTTCAGCGGCTTTCATCATTGACGAAGACCTGCGCTAATAAGACAAAGAAGTGGGGAGTCTATGCCTTTTCATAAAACGAAAAGCTTTCAGTCCTTGAATGAATCAGTAACAACGAATTCGTGGAATGAGGGATCAAGAAACGGATAGGGAGGGGAATGGCCTTTCCATTATTGGTGGACCATCCCTTGAATTGAACCGGTCACGGAGCTCTCCATTGAGTTGTTTAGGTTCTGGAATTCCATCTCTAGTTGGGGGTTTAAGTTCGAAGGTTATCAAATGTGGTGCGGGTTCATCTCTCTCGACCAGTTCAGGTTCAAGGGAAGGGTTATCGAGGGGACCCAGACTTTAGATCTCTTTCTTCTCTATTCTATGGCGGGAGGTTTCTTTCGTATCAAGAGTGTGTTGGGGAGGCCTGGGAAAGACGGATTGGATCGAGAGGCGATGCCTACTCTACTCGTTACCACTAAACGACGAAGCCAAGAGCGGAAGGAGGGACTTGAACCCTCAACCTCAGCCTTGGCAAGGCTATGCTCTACCATTAAGCTATTTCCGCCAGCTACGGTAGTGGCGAAGCACTACTGAGCAATTAACGTATCACTTGATACGGACGACTTATGTTTTTCCGCCGGACCAAACTCTTAACCTCCGATCGAGATACGAGCACGAGTAGGTAGGCGGCTAGGGGGGGGGGAGGGGCGGCTGCCTTTTCAATAAATCTCCGGCCGCTCAGTGCCGGCCGCTATTGGTGCGAGTTGTAAGGAAGGAGTCTTGGTCTCGAGTCGAGCTGGGGCGTCATTTCATTCTCGTAACGGGAGTGAGTGCACCGCAAGATAAGACAAGTGACTCCCTCGCAGCGGTGGCATCTGTCTTTTCAGTTCAGTCATTTCCTAAGACGGCTCCTCTTATTATACGATAATCCAAGCAGATCCGGGAGCTGAAACATGAGTGTTTGTCTCTTTTTCAACTTCAACAGGAATGCATCAACAAAACAGCCCTTCCATATAGATCGTCGTGGCATGAACTTTGTCAAAAAAATTAATTTATAGCTAACTCCTCTTCCTATTGATCTTGATTAGTTCCAGCTTGTTGAGAGTTATCTTTTCTTTCTAGACCGGACCCTTAGACCGTCTCCTGAAAGACCTGCTTATCCCGCATGTGCTTTCGGAGCCCCCCACTCATTCAATCACTTGCTTGTGATTGCTTGCAGCCATTCCCCGAAAAAGGGAGAGACGAGGGAATCGTCCGCTCCCGTTCATGTGACGAATCGAACATCGTTAGGTCCCGAATTCTGCGAACCACCGGACCTAGACCAAGATCTCCATTACGTCGTACGATATATCGATCCGAAGAACTGACTTTCAGTTGTAAGTCATCCATTCTGCTCCTATCTAAAGTGATGCTAGGCTGCTTCACGCAGGTGCGCTTCGCTCGGCCACATGATTAACATGTTTTAAGCTAACTGCATGTCGAGCGCTTAAGCGGAGCTTGTGGTCACTCGTTCCTCGCTTGTTCCAATCCTAGTAAAGAGCTTAAGATCCGATTCTACACTACATACGATATTCCATTCCGGCCCTCACTAGCTCTTCGCTTGGTTGTACAAAGAGCATGCCCGAGGGGGTTACTACGCTCACCGCGCACTTGCATCACCACCTGAGCTTCGCTACCGCTTCGCCCAGCTCCTACGCCTACCACGAATCTTTAATCATCACGTGGCTGCTAAAGCAAGCTAAGCTTCACACGGCCCTGAGGAAGCCAAAAGACCCTCTCACGGCCGAAGGCTCCGCAACACGTTGGAGAACTTTTAGATCCCGCCCTAAAACGCCCATTTTCCTAGAGTTCCGAAGTGATCCTCATTCTCACCGCAGCCTTCTTACTTAAGCCGAAAGAAAGCCGGGCAATAATCGGGTAGTACGAAGGGGAAGCAGAATCGTATCTGGCAGTGGTTCTTCGGATCGATCACAGATTCTCGGCCCCGTCGTTTGGCTTCCACTCCAGTTGACCTCTATTGTTCTCCCCCCCCTTACACAACCGGGTGGAGGACTCATGTAAACTTTTTCCTGTAGGTCCCCGTTCAGGAAGGCATTTTTAACATATAATTGGAACAGAGGCCAATCTCGATTCGCAGCAATAGAGAGCAGGAGACGAACAAACTTCATCTTGGCTACCGGGGAAAAGGCTTCCTCGTAATCTATCCCATATGTTTGAGTAAAGCCTTGACTAGCCTGACCTTTTCCTCCTTTCTCCCACAAAGCTTCCCTTCACAACCAGTCCCATATCAAATTAGTAGAATTCGAGATGGGGAGAGTCAAAATGATACAAATGCGCATTTCCTCTCTGAATCGATAGGTATCAGATCGAAGTCACATAAGTAATGTTTTATAAAAAAAGTTATTTCCGGGAGAACAAAGTGGATTTATGAGCAAATTTTGGCATGATAGGACCAATGAGACAGAACACTGTTGGATGCATTCCTTCGCTAGCAGGGCTTCGACCTCATCATGAAAGAGCATACGGTTGGTTGAAGCGCAAGATTGGCAGTATCCTCGAATTCCCGGAAACAAAGCTATCCATTTCGAGCAACTATTAGTGCAAACCACTTGAATACGAATGAGATCCATAATTACACCATTTCATATATAATAGTTTAATGAGAAAAGAAAGAAGATAAATTTACTCCTCGCCCTGCTCAATTACTACTGGGATAACAGGAATAAGACGCCGGGGGGAATTAGTCACTAGTAGGTTGTACGTATTGCACTTAGTTCTCTCTTGTTACCATCTTAGACTCCGAGTTCTTCTAACTGATTACAAGTATATCTAACCCTAAAAGACCTCGCAACTTGAAGGCTTAGGCACCTTGCTTCAGCTGCTTTCCTTATTTCCTTACTTAACTTGCCTCACTGGCTAGATACCTTCCCAATACTTTACTTGAATGTGAAGGGATAAAAAGTACTTGCTGCTTGAGAGCTTTCCCACTTTCAACTGACGCGTAAACTATCTCCCTCCCCTATAGCGAGCTAAACCATTCCTACTCTACTATAGTCTTTGTTTGTTTGCTGGCACAGGTAGTAGAGGCATTCTCCACTCCATATGTAGAATCTGAAAGTTAAAGGCATCATTGGTAGGCGGACAAGCGAGCATTCCTGTGTGATTGGGGAGAGAATAAATAAGGTGGGCACTGTGAATCGGGCAATTCGAAAAAGGATATCTGTATAATGAGTACCTCTTATGAAACCATACCGCTCCTCTGTTTTATTCTGGTAAAGGGTCGGAATCAGTCCACGAATGAGTTCCTTATTAACTAAAAAATATCTCCTAAACCAAGGCATAGTAGCTTGTTTATGTCTGATTAACCTCCAGGCGCTTTTTATGGAAAACTGAGTGATCAGGCATTCATATAACTGTGTCTTATCGCTCACTGTTCAAGGGCCTTATGGCTCTGATACACTCCCCAATTTATTGCTGGTGTTTATTTGCACCTGCAGGGAGGGACCATCTGGAATTAGAAAGTATGTCTGCAACTTTTACATTTTTTTTTGAACACCAGACTCCCCTATGATCTGCTCACCATACATACCTTTCAACTATAGAACCTATAGGCAGCAAAGAGTCATACCAGAGAGATGTATTGGTTCCATTGCCAACATCATGTATAATATATCTTATAGCCAACTCTCTCACCTGTAAAAGTTTCCTAAAAATCCAGCTACCATTATTTGGTTTGTGGTGAAATACACCCACCAACAAAATGCTTATAAAAAAAAGAAGCATTGTATGTAAAATACCTATAATCTATATAAGGACTTTTTGCAGCCAGAACCCAGATATGCTTCAACATAGCAGCTTTATTCCACTCCACCAATGAAGCCCGAAACCACCTTATTTTTTAAAATTAAAAGGGCAGCAAATTTCCAAGCAACATTCCCTTTGTTCTTAACCATATCAGGACCAGACCATAAGAACCCTCTGCAGATCTTCTTGTCTTCAAATAAAAACCTGCACTGGCAGTATGAACACAGTACTCCAGTAAACTTGCATGCTAAAGAGGGCACTCTTAACCAGTTGCCCAGCATATAAGAGGTATTTTCCAGTCCATCTCTGTACTCTAGCTTTGATTCTCTCAATTAGAGGCAAACAATCACTAACTGAGAGCTTTGAAGGACTGGCCCAGGTACTTGATTGGCATTTGACCTTCATTGAATTGAAGCCAATTAGATTTTTAATATTTCACTTTGCAGCATCAGAAAGATCTCCATAGTCGATTTGACTCTTGGATATGCAGTAAGACCAGAAAGATTTGCAAATTCTTTTAAGCATTGATTGACCACAGCAATGGAATCTTCAGCGCCTGAGCATAAAATTAGTAAATCATCCGCAAAACATAGATTATTAATCTCATTATTTCTGCAATTTTTATGATAACTTAAGTTTGGATTAGTTCTGGCTTCCTGCTTGAGTTTCCTTGAAAGATACTCCATTCCTATTAAAAAAAAAAGATAAGGCGCTATAAGCCCTTGTCTTATTCCTCTATCAATTCAAGCAGCAAATCCTTCTCACGAACTAGAGATTTAGCAATCAACTGAGTGGCTTTCGCTCCTTGGTCTATTGTCTATCGACGCCCTTTTTTCTTTATTTTTTGTTCATCCTTTGACTCAGCAAGGGAACGGAAAGCAATTCAATGGCAACTTGAAGCAGAATGTCCGTCTTTCTTTATGCTATGTAAATTCAATAATCTCTGGCCTCCTGGCAAAGACCCTTCCTCGAAAAATCTTTTATCTATTCTCTTCGACCCCCACTTTTTAGTTAGGGATCGGGTAACCTATTAAGTAAGTTAAGGAAATTCCTCATCTTTCCACATTTTTATAGAAAACTCTCCTCTAGACTGGGATTTTACCCTGGCTAAGAGAAAGGGCTTAGAAAGCTATAGAAAAGCCTCTAAACCCCTTTTTCTTATTAGATAAAGGAAAAAGAGAAGACGAAGAAGTCATAGTAGGCTCTAAGAGTACAGCTACTCTTCTTATCTTATTCTCTTAAATGAAAGGGTACTGTATTTAAAAGCAGAGAAAGAGGAGCCTTGTCCTTAGCTCTTAAGGTTGTTATGCAACTGCATCGTCACCCAAAACCTAACTCCAACAGTCAAAAGCAAAAGTTTCACCCGCGACTAAGAGTAAGAGAAGACTTCTCTTCTAACCAACAATACCTAAAGGAAATGAAGGCCTGTTCATCATTAACTTCTAGTTTAAGCCGCAGCATACACGATCACTTTACTTAAATAATCTACCCGGACGAAAGCCACCTGTGTTATGGGAAGATTACCAGGTCAGGCAAGTCCTCAATCAATGAAAGACGAGCGATTATGGATATTGATTGCGCCAAACATTGCTGTAGAGGCTCTTACTAGATAGGGTGGCAGAATAGGAGTCTCACTAGTAGTAGTATTAAGCGGGCAGCGGTAGGGCAAGTGAAACATTATATCTTTGTCAGGCTTAAGCTAAAGGGCATTAGAGAAAGACAGTTCTTGTTTCCGGGCATATCGATGGGAATAAGAGCAGGCGATAAGTGAGGTAATTCCTTCCGGTAGTGGATGCTGGTGGATCAGAGTCAAATCGCTCATCATAATAATCCGATTCTCCGACACACGATATGAAATGGAAGTCCTACCAAATCTAAAAAGAGCCTTTCATACAACAAAGAAGATTAAAACTCGTCTTCCTGACGGACACTGAAATGCTAACCGGACTGGTTACTACATAGCCCTTTCACCAATAAGCGATTGGCGGATGGTGCTAGACCCGTCAGACTCGCTATCGACTACTCAGAAAGAAAGACTAAAGCAAAAGAATGGATTAAGGTGATACTAAACACTTAGCCGATTCGAAGGCTTCAACCGCTGTTAGGACCGACTACCGGACTGATAGAATGGAATGATAGAGCGAGAAAGGTAGGTGGAAATTAGGACTATGATCTTAAAGCTGCTGCTTTGGCTATGGCTTGCTTGTCAAAGCCGGGCTTCCTCTTTTTTATTTGAGACTATACCTTGAAATTAAGAAGCTAGATCTTTATATTATATAAGGGAAGAAGCTCAGATAAAGATGCCCACTTCTCCTTATAGACTCTTCACAGTCACAAGTAAGTATGAGGGATCCGAGATCTTTTCAAACAACAAGAACGGAACATCAGGACTTTTTCTAGTTAGACTTCTCTAGACAAGCTAGGCTCGCCCACCGGTAGGCTAAGAGACTTTCAGAGCTTAATTTTAGATGTTTATTGCTTTCAGCATGCTTTGCTTCAAAACAGAGAAGAGCGGAAACGACTACGAGAGCAGTTACTCTTCTAACTTTAACACCGGAAACGCATTCAGTTACCTTTCTAAGAGCTACTTAAATTTCTCTTCTTTGCTTCACTGGTAAGGCTCATCGGTCTTCTGGCCAGGCATATAATCGATTCTTTGACCGGCTTTCGAAAAAGCACCTTTGGGCGCTGGCTTTTCACGCTTAATGATAGAGACTAGTCTGATAGAATGATTCTTCTTGCTATACGCAATTTCTTTTTTAGTAAGACAGTAGGAATTCATTCACTCAATTAGAAGCCGCCTCTAAGGATAAAGTCTTTCATCTGCAGGGTAGGCGCTGTGATATCAGGCCTGGGACTACAAAAGTACTTTCTTACTTTGTTCTACGTTGAAGATTGGTAGTAATAGTAGTACTGTAAAAGTTCTTTCTCACATAAAAGCTAAATTTTATCGTGTAAGCGAATACTCTTTCCGCGCCGGAAGAGGCCCCCCTACAGAGGCCAGTGACCCTCTTTCTTCTCTAAAGGAGTAGTAGGTCATGGAGGCTCTGGGCTACTTTTCCCGAAGGAGCTTGTAGCGACATTTGAGAGACGTTCAGAGCTCCCTCTTCTCTTGAACTTCCATAGGAGTCCGCTCGTCGTCATACCGGGCTTAGGAGAGGATGTTAACAGTGACGAGTCTCTCCCGCGTCTGCTCCGGTAGGCGCTGTGATAGCAGGCCTTTAGGTACGGGAAAAAGTCATGTCATGCCTTACTTTCTTCCGGAGGATATAATGTTAAAGGCTTCACATATGATAGAACTCTTAAAGGGAGAGCGTCATTACTTTTCGGATAAGATATCTTTATAGAGGTCAAGTCTCTTGGAGAGATAAAATTAAATTTCTTTACTCTTGTGAGTAAGGGCATTGAGCTTCTTACTCTCATTTTTGCAGAGTTATGAGACTGTCTCCTACCGAATTCTGTCGATGGAAAATCCTCTAGCGTCTAACTCTTCCTCAAGAGTCCTTCAGACTCAGGCAAACTCAAGCCGGAAGAGCCTCTTATATTATAGGCCCTGCAAGACCGCGTCTACCTCCTTCTTAGATAAAGGCATAGAGTAATGGCAAGATCAGCCTAAGGAACTATCCATTGCTCGGCTACAATTGCTCGCGCGGGTCTAGGTCTATTTGCCAGAAAGAGTTCTCAAACATCACAGCACTTCTTCCCCGACGGCTAAAAGTAAGCCGCTAGTTAAACTTAACGCGGGAAGCGCAACTTGGCTTTAGGGAAGCCGGTAGGCTATTCTTTATTCTGGGAGAGACTTTCGATTCCTTCCGCCTCAAGTACGTTCCAGTTTCTGCCCGCAAAGGTCTTTTGTCTGCTAGGACCATCTCAATCTAATTCCAAAAGACTAAGAATGAAGCGAGGCAACTAGCCTGTCTCTACCTAGTAAGGCATTGTACGCCACCAAAAAGCACTAACCTTGCAGATAATAATATCAAACTCGAAAATAAAGTCCTGCTTGCACCGGTCGACTACAAGGCATGGGCCTTGCTGCAGGCGTGGTAATCTTAGCAAGAGGGCTGAACGTCTCCTCAGAATCCTGTCCATATTTCATAGTGAACCTCTTTGCCACTAAGCGAGCACCGGGCCTACCTTTGTGGGTCTCTCAACTGTCTGTGGGTATCGCGAGAATACGAATACTTTGTAACCTTGTCTTGGATTTACGCCTACAACCAGATGCCTTTTTTGTGTAATGGAGTAATCATTCTCTTTGAGAAGTTAGTCTATGGCCTTGTAAGGATTAGAGCGTCTTAGGGGATTAGAAGAGCTCAAGGATTAGGCCTCTGTCGCGCAGCTTGTCCACAGAAGTCTCAGTTCAACATCTTAATGAACCAGGCCGTTAAGGATGTTGAGGGGACCCGTGAAGGTTATATTTGAAATGACGACAAATGTGAATTATTTTTGTGTGCGTGGTAACCCGATGGAATGGCATTTTATAGGAGTTCGAGAATGGGGGCTCTGACAGTTATCTCGAAGTAATACGAATCTGTCAACTTGAAAGGTGGGGCACTAGCCGCCAGAAAGGGGAAGTAAACGCATTTCGAAATCGGCTTATAGAAGGTAAGGGAAGCCCTTCTATATTCAATTCAACCGTAAGGTATAGTATGATGGCACGACTAGTTGCTTATTTCCGTCCGTCTAATCGGCTTGGCCTATCGGCCCTAAAAATCTCATCAAGCTCTCACTCTTTCAGGCTCAACGGTTCAATGTTCGCTAATGTCCGAAAGAATTATAATACCCCTGTAATTAAAAAGCAGCGTAAAGAGCTGAACTTTCTTCAGTATCTTCCCCGACGGGTCCGAGACTTCTATATGAAAACTCTCTTAAAGCTATTGAAATGTACGATCGGGCAGTCAAATAGGCATGTAGTCTTGACTCTGGCTTTACTATATGATATATAGCCCCACTTTCCCGCTTTTCTTTGGCGTTTTTATTATGGCATTAATGATTTTCGATCCGCCTTGCCAAGATCCATTCAAGTAGATTTCAGGGTCTTCCCTTTTTTATTATAGCACGCACAGGCCCTACCTAATGGTTTTTGAACTGACCGAAAGTCCTGCTTAAGGAGTGGCCTTAACGGATCTATACCTCTGGCCTTCTCCCTTTGTTAGAGATGCCTCTTCAGTCTATTGCTCAACGGCCTATGGCTTCTAGAGTAGAGAGAATTCCTAGAGCCTTTCCAGACCAGATAAAGTCCTTCTATCCAGGTTTAAGCTATGGCTTCGATTAAGAAATTATCTTCCCGGCTATAAATAAAGTCTTAGGCCCTCCCCTTACTCTAAGGTCAAAGTCTTTACCGGTACAGAGAAGAGATAAGAACTATTGTTCGCTCGTACGTATCAGTCTATTAGATATTCTTTTTTTCCCTAATCATGTTCCAAAAGGTCCCAGTACCTACTTTAGTCATCTATCATTCTTCTTCCTTTCTTGCTATACGCAATTTCTTTTTTATCCCTGGTACAAAGAATGGAAGCAGTAAAGCTCGTGAAAGAAAGTTAATTTTCTGCTAAAAGGGCATTTTTTTTCAGTAGTTGTATTACCAGAGTTATTTTTTCAGTACTTTACCAATGTGATCTAGGGAAGACAAGTCTTTGATATCAATTGGATCAGTATCCACCCATACATCTCCGTGATATACTGGTATCCTCTTGGTCCCCTGCTTAATCCCAAGCCTTACATCTCTTTCTTGATGATGTTAAGAGTGTGCCAATCAATCCGGAAGTTGGCTTCCACCGCTACCTGTTCTGTACGAGATGGATCTGCGTACTGTGACTCAAACCATTCTGGACTGACCTGGTTTTTCGCCGGTCCCTTGTACTTGAGTACATTGGTGCTATCTTTTGCGATGTAGAAATAGTGCTAAAAAGTCTCCTTTCATGACTCTGTCCTCTAGCTTAAACTTACCTAAGACAGAAGAAGAAATAACTTATTTAGGCCAAGCACAACTGAGTCTGTGTCCGTGTAGTAGCAGTCCTCTCTTGAGATATAAGGTTACATATATATCCTAGCTGAGGCTGTGATCGCAGCAGCTAGTTGTACAGCAGAGTTCTGGTTCACAAAATCTGAGCCCATCTTGGTATTGCGGCTGCGAAGTATTCTCGCTAAGCATATCAGCGAATATCAACTCACTATTCCTGGGCCCAACCTCGAAATGGCCAAGGCTTGATAATCGGGTATAACTCGGAAGCCGGCTTGCGCTGAGTCTATACCTCTGGCAGGCATCGCAGCTCTTAGCATGTGCTATGCAATCTGACAGGACCGTAGGCCAGTAGTGGCCATGTCTCCGGATCAACCAACGCATCTTCACAAACCCATGTGCCCCACTTAGGGGAGTCCGTTTTTTTGAGCTAACTAGAAGCTTAGAGTAGAGCGCGACTGGGCAAACACTTAAATAAGATGTAGGGCTAACCTCCCCCAAAGGATAGGGTAAAAGTTTATTCCAATCTTTCGGATAAAACCTAACCGACAATTTTGATTCTGGAAAGACCCTTCTTACTGGAAACCCATTATGACCTTTGTACCACCAGACACTTATGCCATTCAATCAAATGGAGAAGCAAATCTGTGAACTACCCCGCACTTCTTCTTCGTAAAAAGAACATGTTTCTCCTCGTAATAATCTTCGTAATCAGAATCTGGATACTGAATCTACGACATTCATGATCAGAGTCGACTGGACTGGAATGACATTGACGCAGAAACAGAATCAAGAGAGTAGGAGGAGGCTTGCCCATCAGCCTACTTTGCCAAGACGTGGCAGGAGCGCAACGACCTAGCCCAAACCTACTAAAACTAAAGGCCTTAATGTCAAATAAAAAAACCGAGGAAAATAACGTCAAGTAGAAACGAACAAGGTCTTACGGCACGATCGCTATCTCTTTTATTTTTCTTTATCTCTCCTCTATAGAAAGAGGGGATGATACGTGGCGTGGTATACCTGATCGTTTGGTCAACGAGACGTACGTAAGTCGACATAGCTCCATTTATATTCATATTATTTTTTTTCTTTCACTTAGCCCGCCTCTCCCCGGACCAACCCGGATCTGCCCTCGAAAGTATCTCTGCATTTTGGGAGCAGAGCATGCAAAATCGAGCAATGAATCTTATAAAAATATCCTCGGGTCTCTCAAAATCTATAAAAATGAAAAGCCCGGGTAGAAGCACAAGCAAAAGGAGAGAGGAAAAGTAAAAAAAGGAAGGGGGGAGGAGACTCGCCTCAAGACTTCCCACTGGACGAGAGGCGCACCTAACCCACCTACCCACTCATCAATCACGGTGTTCAGCTGACTTGCACTGATAGACCCCTATTGTATTGGAATTAGGCGCCCATCTTTTGACTGTTGTCAACTAATCTCTTCAATGTTCGATTCTACTCTATGTTAGAACATTTCTGTGAATGCTATTCTGATCTAAGTGGTCCTATTCTGTGTCCCGTGCTAGGAAGCATTATTCCTCTTTTCATTCCAAATTCAAGAATACGACCGATACGATTGATTGGTCTGTGTGCCTCTCTTATTACTTTTTTGTATTCCCCTGTTCCTCGGATACAATTCGATCCTTCTACGGCCAAATCTCAATTTGTGGAAAGCCTTCGATGGCTTCCTTATGAAAACATCAATTTTAATTTGGGTATAGACGGTCTCTCTTTTTTCTTCGTGATATTGACCACATTTCTTATCCCTATTTGTATTTTAGTGGGTTGGTCTGGTATGAGAAGTTATGGGAAAGAGTATATTACAGCATCTCTAATTCGTGAATTTCTAATGATCGCCGTGTTCCGCATGCTGGATCCTCTACTATTCTATGTTCTTCCCGAAAGCGTGCTAATCCCTATGTTGTGCGGAGCTGAGCATCTTCTATTCGCTGGGATAAAGCTTTTCCTCTGCAGGGGCCTTGTGCAGTAAACCCCCTACGGGCGGTCGTCCGTCGTAAAGTAGTCCCCGCGAAGCTTTCGGGAAGAGGGGTAGTCTTGTGCGTAAGCATAGCATTTCTGGTCGAACCCGCCCAACCCAACTAAGACGAACCGAACCTGACAGACACATCTTTTTCCTTTTGGGAGGGTACTCCGAGTAGTGGGTACCTCGTAGGACCTCGACCCGCCTACTCGGGTCTTGTATGGATATGCAGGAAGGGGTGCTCCTAGGTGTGTGTAGGGGTTGTGTTTGTTCGCGAGAATGGATTCCTCGTCAAGTCAGTTTGGGGGGTGTGGACACACTTGCGCGAATTCGGGTAACGGCTACAAGGGAAAAATCGAAAGGAAACTGTACCCAACCAGGGATGGACGTAAACTCGTAAGCTACCGAGGGTAGGGATAATCGTCCAGGTCTTATTGTGAAAAAAAAAGCCGCCCCGCCACAGCAGGCGGGTTGGTTCCTCTGTCGTCGCCGGGGAGCTCCCGGTGAGGAGACCTTAGGATAAGTTGCTAAAACAAACGGGAGGGGAGGATCGACCCGTTCAGTAGAATTCCGAAGAAAGACTGTTGGCAGCAGGTGGAGACATTTCTTTGGCCCCCTAAAAAAAAAAGGAAATGCGGGCAGGGTTAAGCTCGGTAGAGGGTTCGATAATAGGGTAGGGTCCCGTCTTAAAGATTCAGATAAGAAAATAGTTCCAAACCTTGCTGCATGCACCTTCGTATAAGTGCTGCATACAAGTTCCGGCCAGGAGAATTGGGAAACAAATTGGAACCGCTCACATCACAGTAGTAGTAGCGTAAAGCCGTAAGTCGGGGGGCGGGGCGGCCATAAAAGAAAGGCTATGACTTTCACATCTCTATCTCTAGATATCTAGAGAGAGATCCACTGCGTGAGCAACCGACTGTGCGTTACATGTGCTCTACAGGCCGCACTCCATCTTTATTCCCTTTTTTATTATTTTGAAGACGGGCGTTGCGTTCGGTTCGAAAGGCATGGTTTTCAGTATGTCTCCGGATAGGGCCCCCCACTAGTCCGGCTAGCAAGTGAGCGGTTCTTTCGGGCGAGAAGCGGGCCGGGCCCTACGGGCGGGCATCTCCCGCAACGCAAGCTGCATTGTTCGCCACCACCCGAGAAGCAAAAGATTCGAGAGTCCAGGCTTAATATACATGCATAGATAGTGGTCTAATGACAAGGGCCGACGACGGAAGCTCGGGACGGAGCCGTATGATGCGGAAGTCTCACGTACGGTTCCCTGAGAAGGGAGTGGCTACCTACTGGAGCTTCGACCAACCACCACCGGTAAATTCCGCTTTGGGGCCACCCCTTACTCTACCATTATTATAGGGGTATGGGGTTCGAGACAAAGAAAGATCAAGGCAGCATATCAGTTTTTCCTTTATACTTTACTTGGATCTGTTTTTATGCTATTAGCTATTCTGTTGATTCTTTTCCAAACAGGGACCGCCGATTTACAAATATCATTAACCACAGAATTTAGTGAGCGGCGCCAAATCTTTCTATGGATTGCTTCTTTCGCCGCTTTCGCCGTCAAAGTGCCTATGGTACCAGTTCATATTTGGTTACCCGAAGCTCATGTAGAGGCACCTACGGCAGGATCCGTCATCTTGGCAGGAATTCCTTCAAAATTGGGAGCCCACGGGTTTTTAAGATTTTCAATACCCATGTTTCCCGAAGCAACACTTTGTTCCACTCCTTTCATTTATACTCCAAGCGCGATTGCTATAATATATACTTCCTTGACCACTTCAAGACAGATCGATCTTAAGAAGATCATTGCTTACTCCTCAGTAGCCCATATGAATCTGGTGACTATTGGTATGTTTAGTCGGGCGGCGGCCGTTAGGTCACCTATTTTTAGTTATGGACACAAAAGACAAGGCCAAAACATGTGTGCCGGGCGTGCGACCCATCAACCTACTAGCAATGGGGGAGAAAACATAGCATGTCGCAACAAAAGCTTGATTCAAGGCGTCAGCAAAACATTGCCGTCTGTTCCAAAAACAAAAGCCCCTTAGCGCCCCGGGACGGGAGTGGGGGACACCCTACGCGCAGGCAACAGCAGCACCGGCTCTACGAAGTCAGAATCTAATCTTTGTGTTGGCTTTCCAAATTCATTCGTGAATAAGAATTAAAGGGCTAGAAGCGAGCGCTTCTAGCTGCTTCGCCTGCTTCTTCTTATTTATTGTGGCTATGTTGGCGTGGCGGAAATGAACGAAAAGCGAGATGAACGTGCTATTTAAAAATCGATTGATAGATAGCCTGATCCGTTCTGATAGATCGAAAGAGTAGGAATGAGATAGAGGGAATCCATCAATAATAAGGGGAAATCCCCTATTTCTATCTATTGATAAGACAACTATTCTTGATCCATCAGAAATAAATCGATATGTATCTGATGGAGTCTACATCGTACGTAGAGCGCCCAAGCGCCAGCTCAGTTCTCTTATCCATCGGTCCAATGCACTGTCATGGATGGAGGGAAAAGCAAAAATCTAGTTGTGTTGTTCGCCGCCTCGACGCATTCCCTTCTCTCCCTGGCATCGTCCCACACAGAAAGAAAGAGCGCAGAGCCCCGGCCCGACCTGTAGTGTAGGTCCGCTAACGTAAAGCGAGGAGTTGAGCCTGAACTGGCGAACCGAAGTCACTTTCGGAACCATACTTCCTACAGCTAACACGTGTCCAGCGGGAACGCGCAGCGCAAAAAAACGTAAGCTGCTATACCGAATCCCCCGCAGGCCATCGGGGACCGAGTGGTAAGGCCATGATCCGCAGGGGAACGGATCACTCATTCTTCCATTGGGGACAGGTGCACGAACGACAACTCCAAACGTCACACATCCGTCGCCTACTTACCGTTTAGGTGGCACCAGCGAGATCCAGCTAAGGTAAGGAACTTCGTGTCGCGGCTGCTCCACTCCGCCGCGGTCTCATGAACTGAACTTCGTAGCCTTCCCGCGCGCGAAGCGAATGGGCGCTGTGCTGTGGGTCAGTTTCGGGGCGGGGGGCGAAGAGAGACCACAAGAATGATTCATTTGGATCGACGAGCTTTTTCAGCCCCAAAACTAAGAATCAATGGAATGTCTGTCTATCCATGAACATCTATTCTATCTGTATATCTAGGGGATCTCTCTATACATAAAAAAAGGTTTTTTGGCACGATATGATCGCCTAGCCGTAGCCGCATATTGAGCGCAGCGGATATGCGGGATTTAAGTTGGATCAGATCTTTAGCTTTGACGGAAGCTTTTGGACCTAGCGAAAAGGACTTAATAAGCCTTCGCGCAAGCAAAGTAGAAGCTTTGCCAGAAGCAAGACGAGGAAGCAGAGCTGTCGTATAAGCGGTAGCTTCCCCCGACCTACTAAACAAAAATACAACAGTCGCGACCTACTTTGATTCAAAACAAAAGAAAGGCGAAGGGTTTGGCAACAAGCAAACGGCTTTCTATCATAGTTGCAAGGGTTCCCTACTTAAGTTAAGTACCAAAGGCTGCTTTCGGTTGGTAAAGAAGGGGGCTGTTCACTACAAGCTATCAGCGCTGTCTTAGATTGAACGTCGACTTATCTTATTGCCGTTCAATCTCTAAGGCGGGTTTACGCTGAGAACGGAATAGTGTTCGTGTCCAAAGGTAAAGGTGAACAACGAACGCCCTAGCTTCTAGAGTTCGCTGCTTTTCCCAGGCCAGAGAAGGGCTTATACTGCTCGCCTTTGTTTGATATGTTCATTCAGTACCAATACAAACTAAAACTACACCAAAGTGGAAAGGCCCCTATAGAAGCTAGAAGTAACCTCTAGTAGTCTAGTAGTCGGCCTAACCAAAGCGTCACGACAACAGAAAATTACCCTTATGAATGGAATCTTAAGTAGGGGGCCCGCCCGCCTACCAATCAAAGAGGCTGAGAGTAAGCGTAAGCTCGAAGAGCTTCCCTTCATTCGCTTCGCGGGAGCCGCACAACACATAGCTGGAAGTCAGAGGGCCCATACTACCTGCCTAACCCCTCGCTCCGAGGGACCGTAGATAGGAAAAGACGTTCTAAACCACCCCATTCATCTAAAAGAGAGGGGAAGGGGCCTATGTATTTGCATGACTCCTGCGGATTTTACCCTATCTACACCCGGAGCCAATCTCCTATCGGTCCTGCCACCACGCCGCAGAACGGGAGCTCGTGTGGAACCTTTTATTTATGGCGTAACAGCGGTGGAACATAAAAAAAGATTACGGTCGCGTAACATAAGGGCCGGAGGTACGGTAAACTCGGCCAAAATTTGACACCCGAAGGGAGGGCCCGGCGCGCGCAATCCTATCCTCGTCCGAGTTTACCCCTTGCACTTCGGACAGCCGTCCGTAGCATCATAAGGAGGACCTCCCTTTCAGGGGTAAAAAAAAATGGTACGGTACATAGGAGGCTGGTCTTTCTCAACGTGGTGTATAGCACGAAAAACCTTTCGATACAAGATAGGGCCATTCACATGAAAGAAGATAAAAAACCCTTTCTTCTCTTTCTCGAGGGGGAAAGATAAAGAGGGTCTTATGGAGGGAGGGGGAAGGCTTGGGCTGGGCCTACCTATCCCGATAGGACCTCATAAAGGAACGGGGGCTGTTTAGAGGTTCCATATTGCCGAGCCGAAGGGCAGCACTTCTGTACGTGATCGTAGTATGTCATCTCGTCCCCGCTGCATTTAAAAGTACCTATGCACTATTTCCGGTTCACTGATAAGGAAGATAGAGTTGGGGTGGGGGTCTACGATGTGATACTCAAGTATGACCCGGGGAGATACATGCTAACTATGGGTAGAAAGCAGGAACCCTTATGTAAAAAATTTCGGGGGGTTACAGATCAGATCTCTTATACTACCATCGATCAACAGAGCGGAACGACCATAAAAAAAAAAGTTAAGTTAGAAAGCCGTATGATAGGCGGTAACTATCTTGTACGGTTCGGGGGGTAATCGGCGTACTCCGATCAGTGGGGGGGGGGAATCTTTGGCTCTATCGAACATACAGGGAATTGGAGGTAGCATTCCACCGATGTTAAGTCATGGACTGGTTCCTTCAGCCCTTTTTCTATGTGTTGGTGTTCTATATGACCGACATAAGACTCGACTTGTTAGATATTACGGAGGGTTAGTGAGCACCATGCCGAATCTCTCTACCATTTCCTTCTCTTCCACTTTGGCCAATATGAGTTCACCAGGTACTAGCAGCTTTATCGGGGAATTTCCCATCTCAGTAGGAGCTTTCCAAAGAAATAGCTTAGTAGCCACATTAGCAGCGCTTGGGATGATTTTAGGCGCGGCGTATTCCCTTTGGCTATATAATCGTGTGGTTTCTGGAAATTTAAAAGCCGATTTCCTCCATAAATTCTCCGATCCAAATGGCAGAGAAGTTTCCATATTTATACCTTTTCTTGTTGGAGGGGCGACCGTCCGTTGA